TATCATAATGCCAGTGTTCTTTTCGTCCCAGTCTTTATTTCTTTCGGTTTTGACGTTCTTTCTTTTATTTGCACTTACTATTAACCCTACAGCCCCTGAACCCCCATTCTGTAGTTTCTACTCCTGAGCAATACATCAAGTATCCACCTATTGGTTCCGTTATCAATTTGCCTTTCTTTTTGGTTTCTGTAATTTCTAGGTGGTCTATTGTGTATAATTCCATTTAATCTATTAACTCGTTTTCTTTGTCGTTTATCCTGTTTTAAATGAGGTACGTGCACCTTCTTAGTGAAGTCTTCGTCTATCCATGTATTTATACAGTTTAGTTCTTTTGTTTGTTTTAGTATCTTTATTTGCCTCGTTGTAATTTTAGGAGGTACTATGGGTCATAGTTCTCCTGGTTTATACCTCTCCTTGCTTCTAACTTCATCTATATGTTTCGCAGAGTCTATTATCAATCCCATTTTCTCTTTCTCCTTCTTCATCTATTACGCTTTTTGACTAGTTGGTTTTTCTTGTCTCTCGTTCCAATGATTCGATGTTTACCGTTTTACATGATATTCATAATATACGTACAAAATTTCACAACAATCGGATCAGTAGTTTCGTACATTTTCTGTCTATTAAAAATTGACATAAACGACACACAACAAACAGATGATAGACCAGCCAGAGGGAAATGGGGACCTATTTTCATACTCTAGGAGTCATGAAACTTTGAGAAAACATGAAAGTAGCTGTTCACTGTAACTTACGCTTACCAAGTAAAAACAGCATTTGTCCCTTTTCACTCTTTCTGAGAATTTTTATAAATGCGACTACCACTCAAACGTGTCTATTATACCTACTAAAAATAATAAAAAGATAATGAGGCATCGCTGGTTGTCTTGAAATAAAATTTAAAAACCTGCACAATTAGAGGGAAATCTGATAATCGTCAACTTTTTATTGCGCTGTACTTCTCTAATTATAAGGAAACGTAGTAATAACGACGAGGATTTAAAATTTTACAGTGAAGTTAACGTTTCGAATGAAAAACATTTTGCCTTCTGGAGATGTCTTACGTAATATTTATAGATATTTATAGAAACTGAAAAGTATTCCAACTAATTTCACTGCAATGAAACATTCATTATATCTAATATTTCTATAGTTCCTTGTTATAACTGCCTGCCGTGTAGTTATATTAATTATCTACAACTGTTTAATAACTGTACTATCCCTACACGAATTTTTGTAGTCAACTATGTCCGTTATCACTCGCTTGATTGTAGCTGTTAAAGAACATTTATCATTACAGGCTTTCTATAAATAAATGATTATAGGGTCGAAGTCGGTCATGAACACGTGCCGCCTCTCAGTTTTAGGACTTACTAAATGCCCAAGGACGCACGATAAATACCACACGCATCTATATAACTGGTTGCCTAAATGGTTCATATCTTTAAAATAGAACTAATTACAATAAAAAGAAACGAATTGACTTGACTGTAGAGGAAATTTTGATGATAACACGTTTGCAGATTCTGCTCAAGTCATCTCAATCCATCAACAACTTCCTCAGACACTGAAGGTCTGTACATGGATACCTAACCATGCGTTCATAGTTACAGTTTTCAATTACTGGTTTATATTATGGTATTGTTAAAAAGTACATTCGTTACGGCCATCAAAAGTAACTACAAATTCATTGTTTTTAAATTTGGAGCTAATAAATTTAGATCGTTTGGCATACAAATAGACACTTATTTAAATTAACCAAATCCTGGAAAATATACGGGCCATTGCCTGCCAAGATCTTCAGGTACAATATTTACCGATGGAGGAGCAAATATCATGGATTTAAAAATTAACGCCACAATCATTTTTGGAAAATAAAAATATTTTTAACTCCAGAATTTTTTATTCATTCGTAGATAAAATAGTCTCTTTTACTGGCATATAAAGGGCAATTATTACACACGCCCGTTGAAAACTATAATATTAAAGTGCATGATGCGTTAACGGTTAACTTAACACACAGGCACATATATTTACCTACGGTCAAGTGAACATGAATGCACAGATTTGTTTATTTAATGATGTCAACAGAATATAAATATTTGAAAATAAATATTTTAATTAATTAAAATTAATCAGCTTTATTTGTATTTACAGGTAAATATTATATTCAAAAACAAAACATTTTCTGGCACTTGAAAGGAACATTTTCTTCACTTGTTCTCTTATTTTCTTTTTAGTAATAGATACTTACGTACTTAAATATTTTCACTTTTATAAGCCCCGTACTAAATGTGTTACAATTAATGTCGATTCTTGAGGACTAACACCAGAAGCACGAATGTAACTAAACTTCAATTTCGCTGCATCAAATACTCCTAACATTTTGTACTTTAGCTGCCTAACCAGCATGGGTCATGTTTGAATGGTAGATACGTGTATGTGCATCTCGCTTCAGGGCAGATCAATTTCACAGCTACCATCTGGCTGAATTAATTAATTAGAGAACATGGCAAATGTGTCAGGTGACAACCCGCAGTTATGTAAAAGCCACTAATTATGATCTTTCTCATTAGTCCACACTGCATGAAGTTCTGGCGAAATGAAAGGAATCCATGAAAGTTTCTTGCAGTCTGCAACTTCTGCAAACGTAATAAAGAAATTTTAATGTTCTCAGTATTGTATTAATTCTATAATTGCTTCGTTTATATTGTAAACATCTGGAAACCTTAAAACTGTTTTTTTTTAACTAAATAATAAATGTCGTGTTATATTTAAGTGCATTTAGTCATAAGGGCGATGCACGAACATGCATTTTATCAGACAACAAACCGAATTAAGCCATAACTGTAATAATAAGTTTTATGTATCTACAACATTATGGCCATAAACTTCCTAAAGTATTAACAACGTTTATACTTATTGCAGATAAGTCGAAAGGGCACGTAAAACAGAGATTATTATATATACAATAACTGTACAACATCCGCATTTTGAACCATAAAAGGCTCCGCAGGGCTTACTGCTTGCAGTGTAATAATATTAAGCCAGTAATAAAAGTTTCAGTTGTAGGAAAGCTGTAATTACAATCCTCTGTATTTCATTCAAAAATTTATTAAAAACCGGCTGCAAAAGCTTACCGACTACAGACAACACGTCATCCGCTTATCAAAACTCTAAAAATAAAGTAAGTTAGAAAATCTGACTACACGTATGAATCGAATAAATCGGCGGTCCGTGATTTTTAAGAAATTCATGCATCACCAAAGAAAGTGGATTGTCCGCATCAGAAATAAATCTCAAGAGTCCTATAATGTTCGGTCTGATCGCAGTTTGATCCTTCGAGCGCTATATCTGTTTTATTGCTACGTCGTCGTTATAAAAACGTTGATTAATCAAAGGCAATAAATAAAATTTGAGCTCAAAAACGATCGCTCGATTTGTTCATTGTTAACAATATAAAGAACACGTCAGTTCTTGCGTAAAATATGAAGCGAACCAAGTGGAGAAATAAATAAAAAATAAGGAATTGGCGTTTTACATCGGGAGTTGTATCACGAACACTAAGTTAAACAGCTTATTGTTAGAGACTTCCAATACATTTAGGAATGTGACAGTTTTTCGGTGTTTTGCTTGAATTATAATGCTTGTGGAGAGAAAACTTTAGTTATATGTAATTATCGTTACAAGTTTTGCACTTTCATTAAACCAGATTGTCAACGTTTTTAACAACTGAAAATGTTGAGAAGTGACTGGGTGTAAAAATCTTAAATTGTATTCTTTCGGGAAATGTAATTAAAATTATTTTGACAATGGTTGTACGAACTATTACAACAAAGCATTGATTTTACGTGTGTGTTAACACTCAATAAGTCAAACGAAGTTTATTTATACCGTCACCGCCAATAAATCTCGCCAACACGACTGTGTTAAACCGAATGAAATTATTTTACGAGGTGCTAGTCGAATCTAAAAATCACTCACGAATGTTAGACTGGATTATATAATTTTTGTTCTACAACTATGTGGAATTGATTTCCTTATATTAACTATTAATATGAAAATCTTGGCCTGTACGAACACAATTTTCTCTAGCCTTCAATAATAATAACATTAACTGCGAGTAACCGTGGTTGTTGAGTGCAGTGACGCAGCAAAATGAATTAAAAAGCAATATTGAATAAAAATGAGTTGTGAGAGGGTGTCTTTGACGTCGCAAAATTTAATGCAGAAAAATTAATTAATTTCAGGCAAGGAATCTCGTGCTTTTAAATGCGTATTTAAAAATATCTCGACATTTCACTTCCTGCATTGTACAACCAAAACAACAAAAAGCTAAATTGAGTTCGATTTTTTTCCAATGTGTAACTGCTGAGCTAACCAACAAATTGAAAAGGACAATAGAAATATTTCATGACAGCAGAGTAATTAGTAAATGTAACTAACACAAACGACTGTCTAGAAAGACAGAGGAGTACGATGGATTTGATAGCAATAAATCAAGTTTCTAAAACGTTTTCGGAATAATACTTTTTTATACTGCCTTTAGCTAGATATTTAAACCAGCCTTAAATCCGTGAAATTAAAAAGCTTCCTGTTTAAAGTTTTGCGTTTGAAAAAATCCTTTGATGATGGGTTTTAAGTAATAAGCACCATGGTAATTAGGCATATTATCTGCCTCTGAATAAATATAATGAAATAAATTTAAAAAGTAACGGAAACTCTTGTTTAGATATAAATTTTATAATGCTGTATTTATTTAAAAATTTCCAACGACCTTTGATATATTAAATCACTTGTAATGTTTAGAGAAGATACCTGTTAAAGCGTGTAGCAATAATTACGGTTATAGTTGATCATTAAATGATTAAACATCGACCTATTTATAATTTTGGTTACTTTCTCAATTTGAAACAATATTATTTATTGTGGTTACGTTAGCCAAGAATTTATGTTGATGAAAACAGTAAACGTCAAACAACGGTCTGAAAACAACTTACTTAGAAGACGAGTCAATGTTCTCTGCATGAAATAGACCAGCGTGCCATCTGTAACAAAAAATATGGATTATGACACCGAATTTTTGTTTTTCGTTACAAAATTAAAAACAGTGAATTTTATTCAAATTTTTATCACCTAAAATGGTATTTTTATGATCGAAAAATGTCCTCTAGGAAGGCATGAAATTTATTTTCAAAATAGTGATGCTACGGTGAGACATATTTTTCAATGTTTCGCATTGTTGCCAGTCTGAGGCAAATTTACCTTTTTGAAAGAGTAAGCGATCCGACGAATTGGTATTTTCATGTTTTCTCGACGTTCCACGATCCTTAAGAGTATGAAAATGTGGATTTCTCGTTCCGTTTGTCTATCTGTTTATACGTTTGTCGCCATTTTTTTAATTTATAAAATAACATTACTATACTTGTGATTTATGAATCCGTTCTGAATTTTTCAACTAAAGACGCAATAAATAAAATTTGGCAAAATCTAATTTCATAATTTTTCAAAGAGGCGGGACTTGTTTCAGGCGCCAGGTAAATTCGACCAATTTTTTTATATTCTGGGGGTTATGATTATGAAACGTGGATAAAACATGAAAGTCACTAAATAAATTCTATTACAATACATTTCTAACTTACGCTCCAAAAGTAAACACACAGCTATCAGATTGTGTTGAAGCATTTTTTCTACAGTCTATAGCGAATTGGAGTATTTAATTTTTCGCCCTTTGACCTTGGAGAAATGGTGAAAAAATTTGAATTCTGTGTTGCGTCATTTTCATTAATTGTCGAAAAATAAAATATTTTCAAAAGACGTATCTAAATCGATTTTTTTTCTAATTTGTTTTTGGCGAATTGTAGGTATGTAAAATTCGTAATTTCTTATTTATCCACACAGCATGGAAATTATGTTAATTATGTCAATGAATAATGTTGCAGTATTTTAATTAAGATTCATTTCTTGTGCGACACATCGATGAAAGAAAACTCTGCAAAAAATATCTGATATGATAGCGGCGAGAATTTTTTGTTCATTTTTCGTGTTACGCACGCAAAGGAGTTCTGTCGGTGTTGTCGTTGTCGAGGTCGTATGCGGTCTGCAAATTAGTTCGTTTAAGTGGTTCATTTTTGTTAAAAATAATTTGGTTTCGGACTAAAAGTGAAAGGTGAGTGTTGTGATGGGCGTACCAGGAAGGAGTCCGCAAGGAGCGGCGCGGAAGGAAAGGAAATCAGGATTTAAAGGGTAAGTGTTGTTATTAGGCTTTATATATCGATCTGTTTATTATCCAATGTACTTTGCCTTACTTCTTCGGTTCATTTATTCTAAACTGATATAAAGAAACGGATAGTAAGGGAGAAGTAGTTGTCGAATCGTTACTTAACGACTTAATAAATATGACAAGAACAAAAACATTAATATCTCGTCCGATATTTATTCTTCAAGACTGGTCTTTTCGGCTGAAATAATGAAATCCAATTTTGATTTTTATCTGATTATGGAATGTCTTTACGTTTACGCATTACTGCAATTATGAGGTATATTATTCATTGCAATTATATTTGTTCATTTAAATTTCAGAATTGCTTTCGAAATATTTTTGTATTTGGAACATACTTAACTACAACTAAAACAAGTTCACTAAATCAGTAAAACGTTGCAGACAATCATTTTAATTGAAAACAGTGGTCTTGAATATTTGAGTTTATTAAATTTCGGTTAAATTAACTTTAGAATGTCGTTTTTATTAAATTTTTATTACTTGTTTTCTGGACATTCTTCAGCCTATGGTGTGAAAATATGGATTTTCCGTTTCCGTCGTTTGTTGGCGATTTTTTAGGCAAATATTTTCCGAAATTCTTTTTTTTTTTTGGAGTGTTTTAAGATTGTTATATAGATTTTTTTCTGTTCACTAGGAATTGTATGATGTAAATGTATAATTCTGCTTAGAATTTATATTGTTATTTCAAAACTTTTTCTGAATAGTGTTATTTAATGTCAGTTATTAAAAATTAGTATATATAAAGTTGGTGTTAACTTCCATGGTGTTTTTCTTTATGTACACAACAATTTCATGTGTTTTTTGTTGCAGTGGGTTCGTAAATGAAGATGAAGGAATTCGCTAAATTGTAGCAGAAGAAGAAGCCTAGAGGTCACAATTTTGCATTAATTTTAAATTGGGTGTTCTTTTTTTTAACATTTTTTAAATCTTTTATGAAGGCTATTTTGATCGGTAATTTTGTCTTATTTTTTTTTTATCAATTTTTTAATGTCTTTTTGTTCCACATTTTGTAAGCATTATATTTTATTTTTTATGCACTCTTTTCCTTATGTGCGTATCTTGACACAATTTTTTCCTTTCAATTTTTCGTGCAGCAGCAAACAATTAAGTTTCTTAATTTTTTTTCCCCAGGAAATTACATACTTATTATTAATTGTTTAGAAACCGTTTTATTTAATGTTTGATCCTGTTCCCAATCTATTATAAAATATAAAATTCAAAGACTAGGTTTCTGATTGTCATTTTTGTTTAATTCTTCTTACTAACTAAAAGTTTTCAGTTTTATTTGCGAAATATAGATTATTATTGGAGGAATCTTTAAGGTATTCAAGCAAGTTTGTAAAATGTATAAAGTCCTAGCATGAAAATTGTAGAAATTTTATAGTAATCACAACAAAACTTCGATTCTATCTTTAGTCAAATCAATGTCATAACGAAACGTCCAGATTTTTGGGAAAAAAATCAAAATCATACCTCAACATTTTGCAATACAATTTTGAATCTGCAAAACCGAATGCTTTGAAATCTTGCAGATATTTTAAGGTTATGATGATGGGCATGCTAAATTTTTAATCAGAATTTATTTACTTATCCCCTCCAAAAAATTGATGACGTCAGCTCAAAATTTTGCCGGATAAATCCTATCTAAAATGTACAAAATATGGTGAGTCTCTTCTTGTGATTTATCATTCCATTCAAATTTTTTCGATTTGCATATACAGGGTGACTCAAAAAAATTAATGAATGCGTAAATTTATTTTATTGATTTAATCAGGAACTACAAAATCGAATGCTTTGAAATCTTGGAGATGTTTTAAAGTTATCATAAGCATGGTAAATTTTTTATCAAAATGTATTTGCTCATCCCCCCAAAAAAATTGATGATACCACTTCTGAACAAATCCTATCTTAAATGTACAAAGTATGATGAGTTTATACTTGTGGTTTATTACTGCATTAATAAATTTAACGTTTGCTTATACAGGGTGTCTTAAAAAAATTAATGACTGAGTCAATTTATTTTATCGAATAAATCAAGAATTGCAAAACTGAATGCTTTCAAATCTTGCAGACGTTTTAAAGTCATTGTAGGCATGGTAAATTGTTAATCAAAGTAAATCTATTTTTTCTCCCCAAAAAATTGGTGACGTTATCTCAAAATTTTGCCGAATAAATTCTACACAAAAAGTGCAAAATATGATGAATTTTTATTTGTGATTCATGATTGCAATCATATTTATCATATTTTTTATTAATCAAATTAAGAACATTTCCCGAAAATGTGAAAATACAAACGTCGTTGTACTAAAGAGTTAAGTTGAGAAACTATTTTTTCTTTTATATTAAACAAGCAGTGTCTTTCAAAATTAAAGAAACGGTTGTGTTACAAATATATCATGTATTGATCACATTGATCAAGACAGCTTAGATCGGTAATAAAACCTTTGTTGTGGAAATAGAGCGAGTTTAGAGAATTTTAACACACAGATTATTATCTGTATTTCTACAATTTAGAAGGTCGTTTGTTATCAACGTTATAAATTCGTATTAGTACATGGTCTAAGTGTCTGGAATAAGAGCAGTCTTGACTGAATACCGGTCATTTGGTGGATTTTAAAATAAAAATAATTGCAATAATCTGCGTCACGTAATGCAGTTAGCACAAAGTTATTTTTTCATAGTTTTGTCAAACGTTTAATTAAAATCTAGACAATTTATAAAAAGATTTCAAATACGTAACATTGTTAAAGTACTTACGTAAGTCATGCGAACTTGTAAATAAAAATATTCAACACATAAAACCCTTTTATATACATGTAAAGGAAACTATTTCTGTAAAAATTTGTGTATGACGAAAAACACAATATACATTTTGCACACGATCTTCACCAGTCGACAGTCAGTGGTATCAAAGTAATAAATTGCTGCGAATTTGTTATTAATAACAATTTTTTTTAATAGTATTGCAATCCAATAACCTTCCAGATAACGTCAGTTACTGAGATTTCATTACTTCAGCCTAGCTCATTTATCATCATTTTTTAAATAATGGTAAAATGAGGGTCCCAAACGACGTAACAACCACTAGGTGACGCCAGCTTTGTTATTAAACTTTGTTGTTTTAGAGAAACAGCTCAAAAAGTTGAATGTAGACTCCCCACAGGGCACACTGCGAAGTTAATGTGTTACGAATTGTTTCCTTCCTAATGGTACAAAATTTGCTCCATGTTTAATTATGATAGAGTCAGGCTGAAATAACACGCATGAATCACACAATACTATTGTTCCAATTTGCTAAAGTCCGCTGATACGTAAACTGAAACAAAAGACGCAAAAATTATAAACACGAACGCTTTCCGAGTTAATCCCAAATTAACTTGAGTTGACTGTTTATAGCTGAAGAAGCACGAGGAAAGAATGAGGGAGACTTATTTTTCACATTTTATTCTAAAATAAATCAACATAAAAATCATTATCTCGACTTTGTTCACTGTAATAAATTAAAAAAAATGAAATTCTGTTTTCGTGGTGAAATATTGTTTCCACATTATTAATAACACAGCTTTCTGGCTTCTGTGCGTCAAAGTTTTCTCCGAATGCACTTTGCACACGCACGTTATTTTGAAAGTGTTGTTTATAATTAATATATTAATTTGCTTTGTTCATTGACAGTACACAAACACATCGGTGCAATAGTTACGCGTCAATTGACAATTATCGGGAGTGGCGCAAACATGAGCAGCTGGTTACATGCGTACCCGATTT